CCATTAGTTAGGCTGGCTGGAACTGGGGAAAGGGAGGAAGGAAGGACAGACAGGTAACGCCGGCGGATGGCCTGATTGTTATTTCTAGGAAGGCTTCTAGAGGAATTTCGTCACGGGCTTTTACTTCTATTGGCCCGTTGACTGAGGCTAGGAGGGTTGTTGGACCGTCTGTGTATTGTGCGGAGCCGTCGGCCATTGGGAGGGGTGATAGGATGGCTGTTTGGGGGGCCATTTTTGGGGGATTGTTTGGGATTGTTTTGGAGGTGGGTTGCGGTTGGTTGTGGTTGTGGTAGTAGTTGTGAAGCTATGATGTTAAGCCTCACAGGCAAACAACCTGCCTTACGATAGGTTTAGACTACACCCATATCCCAAAAGAATTTTTAACGTTGCCAAGGAATTTAGGACCGCCCCCTCCTTCTCCCCTTACCCTTCCCCCCCTTCCACCGACCCCACCAATTCGCAGCCTCAAGGCTTTTTTTTTTCTTTTTTCCCTTACTTGCCTGTCTGCCTGCCTTACTGTATTCCTTTTTTCAAATCTTATTACTCTTATTACTCTCTCTTTCCCTTCTCCTTCCTTTCTTCTCTCCCTCCCTCCCTCCCTCCCTTCCTTCCCACTTCACGCTCGTTTAGAACGACGAACTGGACATTGTCTTTCCTTTTACTTTACTTTACTTCCTTCTCTTCCTTTTTTCTTTTTCACATTCTTACCAAATTTGAAAAACATCGAAAAGGGGGTTTAATTGTAAGAAAGTTTCGGAAAGATGAAGTACGTTCTTGTTTCTGGAGGTTAGTAATTTTTATTACTTTTTTTTCTTTTTCTTTTTTCTCTCCCTTACCCCACGTCTCTCATCCATTGTGGGGGTGGAGGGCTGATTTTGAGAATTTGAATTCTAGGTGTGATTAGTGGGATTGGGAAGGGCGTTATTGGTAAGTTTAACTTTGTGGTTTTTATCCTTGACTGCAGGATGAGTAGGTAAGATGGAATTTGTGCTGATGCATATTCTTATTATAGCTTCCTCAACGGGTCTGTTGTTGAAGACTATTGGTCTTAAGATTTGTTCACTTATTCCACCCTTGTAAATTGAACGCTCTCGCTAAATTATTACGAGGGTTTACGTCTCCGCCATTAAGATCGATCCGTATATGAATGTTGATGCAGGGACTATGGCTCCAACCGAGTATGTGTTTCTCTCTCGCTCCTTCTTCTCTTGAGAGTTGGGGAGGGAGGGAAGTCAATTTAGTTAGTTGCTGATCAGCGGCCGCGGCGGTTAGACATGGGGAAGTGTTTGTCCTTAATGATGGTGGTGAAGTTGATTTGGACCTTGGCAATTACGAGAGGTACCTTAATATCACGCTTACTCGAGAGAATAATATCACTACGGGGAAAATTTATCAGCATGTCATTGAGCGTGAGGTTTGTTTCCTTCTCCCCCTCTGCCTCATAACTAGTTTTGCGGGGGAGAGTTGGCTGAAACTGGAGGGATAATAGAGACGTGGTGATTACCTTGGGAAGACGGTCCAGGTCGTTCCTCACCTTACCGATGCCATCCAGGATTGGATTGAGCGTGTAGCCCGCATTCCCGTCGACGAGACTTCTGAGGAGCCAGATGCTTGCATCATTGAGTTGGGAGGAACTGTAGGAGATATCGAGTCTGCGCCCTTCATTGAGGCAATGAGACAGCTTAGGCGTCGTGTTGGGAAAGGAAACTTTTTGCAGATTCACGTTTCTTTGGTTCCGGTAATTAATGGAGAGCAGAAGACGAAGCCCACACAACAGGCTATTAGAGACGTCAGATCTGCGGGTCTTGCACCTGATCTTGTATGTCTACCCTACGCACACCTTGGATGTAACTCGGATGCTGATCTGAAGCAGATTGCATGTCGTTGTCAAGAACCGTTGAGTAGAGCTACTGTTGAGAAGGTCGCAGCATTCTGCGACGTCGCCCATGAACAGGTAGTTGCGGTTCACGACGTTAATTCCACGTACCATGTTCCGCTTCTTCTTGAACAGCAAAAATTGATCCATCTCCTCACATCTGTATTGGAATTGGAGAAACTCAATATTGCGCCGGCGCTTATCAAGAAGGGCACTGATATCTGGGACGAGTGGAAGACTCTTACCCTTGCGCAGGATAGACTTTTTGATAAGGTCGACATTGCGCTCGTAGGAAAGTACACTGATCTACACGATTCATATTTAAGTGTTGTGAAGAGTTTGGAGCACGCCTCCATGAGGTGTGGGCGCAAGTTGAACCTGATTTGGGTTGAGGCGGAGGCTTTGGAGGATTATATGAAGCAGGAGAATCCGGCCAAGTTTCATAAGGCGTGGCATGACGTTTGCACTGCTGGGTAGGGCTTATTTATTCTTGAATTTAAGTGGAGGGATGCTAATGGGATAAAGTGGTATTTTGGTGCCTGGCGGCTTTGGAGCTAGGGGTACCGAAGGAATGATTGCAGCGGCAAAATGGGCTCGTACTAATAAGACTCCTTACCTTGGTATTTGTCTTGGTATGCAGGTCGCTGTGATTGAGTATGCTCGTCATGTCATTGGTCTTAAAGGTCTGTTTGTGATGATTTTTCTGGATAGCCGCATCGGCAGTCACTGACATCTTCATAGATGCTCACTCGGTGGAGGTTTCCGCGAATGCTTCTGACCCGGTTGTCATCTTCATGCCTGAGGGAAGTAAAACTCATCTTGGCGGAACCATGCGTCTCGGTATTCGTCCAACCATTTGGCAACCCGGCAGTGAGTGGAGTAAGCTCCGCCAGCTCTACGGAGAGAAGGAGATTATATTGGAGCGTCACAGACATCGCTACGAAGTCAATCCTGATTATATTGAGAGGTTGTCTGGGTTGAACTTTGTTGGAAAGGACGATAAGGGCGAGAGGATGGAGATTGTCGAGTTGAAGGATCACCCTTACTACGTTGGCGTTCAGTTCCATCCGGAGTATTTATCCAGGGTGTTGAGTCCTAGCAAGCCATACCTAGGCTTTGTGGCTGCTAGTGCTGGGTATTTTCCCTTCCCCTTATTGGTATTGGTGGGCTAATATTTTGAATCATAATAGTGTTCTCGACCAGATGCTTGAGAAACTCCGGAAAATCCAGCCGGCGGCGGCGCCAGGCTCCGTTCTAGTCGAATCTAACGGAACTCTCTAGAATAAAAGGCATTTTTGTTTTTGCTTTTAAACTATCTACTTTGTCTCTAATTCCCTAACGAGAAACATGTTTAGCCCGGCCACTACACGTTGAATGGTGTTTTTCTCTACCACGTTAATTGTGGAACCTCATAATGTTGAATAGATACATGATGCAATGGAGGCCTTCATGTCAATATAAATGACAGCAGTAATACATAGGATAAATAGAGTGGAATGTGAAGTGATATTTATTTATTATTCCTCCTGCCTCCCATCCGGTTTCTCCTCCCGCCTCTTCTCTTCTTCCTCCAGCCTCTTCTCTTCTTCCTCCAGCCTCTTCTCTTCTTCCATCTTGCTCAGCTCTTGTAACATCTCGGCCCCATATGCTCCCACTTCCCCTGACATATTCGCCGCCTTTTGCGCCCAAGTCCTAGCGCTAGATATGCGCCCCTGGTCCATCAATAGCTGGGCGAGAGCGACGATACTCTCTGCATGGCGCCGGGAGGCCGCGATGAGAAACCACTCCTCAGCAAACTTTGGCTCCCTCCCCAGCCAATAAGACCCAAGTTCATAGGCCGCATCAACAACCCCACCAGCCCCAGCTCTCACCAGTAAACCTAACCTCTTCCCTCCAACCCCTTCAATCACCTCCCCTTCCTCCTCCATAGCCCCGTCCCCTAACTCCCCCATCAGCTGCGCGAGGAAATAACACCCCCTAGCACTCCCCATCTCCACCGCTTTCTCAAACACCACCCTCGCCCCCTCCAAATCGCCCCTGCCCCTCCTGAGTACCCCCAACCTAACCCCCCCCCCCACAACGCCCCCCCCCCCCGCCCTCTCGAACCACCCCTCCGCCTCGCCCAAATCCCCCCCTTCCCCCTCCACCGCTTCTCCCAGCCTAAACGCGGCCCCAGCATGCCCCGGCGCAACCTTCGCCAACCGCTTCCTAACCCCCTCCAGCTCCGCCTGCACCAACACCGACCCTCCCCCTCTCGCCACCTGCGCGCTGAGCAGTACGTGCAAGTGCACCACCGCCGCCGGCACGTCCATGTGCGCACACGTTCTCAACAAATGCCTCAGCAACGCAAACCCCCCCGCAGCATTATTACTCCGTAACAGCAACCTCGCCAAACTCGTCAAATCCTCCCCCGTCGTCCCATGATCTTTCTTCCCCCCACACATTAGCCGTTCGCACCCGCACCCGGGGGGGGAGCAAGAAGGTCTTACGCACCTTTACAAAATTCCAACCCTAGCGCGCGCGAAGCCGGAGAGCTGGTTCTCCGCGCGTACTCGTTCATCAACGCCTGCGCTGCGCCCGGGGCGTACGGGCTTGCGCCGGACTTGTGCGCTGAGAGGAGGAGCGGCGCGGGGATCTGGATGGGTTCTAGCGCGGGGTGGGGGACCGCGGGCTTTGCGCCCTTGCTACCGGAGTTGGCTTTGCGGAGGAGGAGGGGGAGGAGGAGTTGGGGGGTGATTCGTGGGCGTATGTAGAGTCTTTGCGGGAGGATGGTGTGGAATTGCGATGCGGATGTTCGGGACATATTGTCGGTCTGGTCTGTCTGTCTTGAAAGGAGGGGAGAAAAAGAAAAAAAAAAGGTTGGAGAAATGATTCTTGAGGAGGAGGAGGAGGAGGAGAAGGAGGGTGTTTGTTTGAAGATTGTTTCTGGGAGAGCGGCACTTTTTTTTTTCTTTTTGTTGTTGGGGGTGACGGAGTTGATTGTCATGGATGTCAATCAATCGCATACGTCATGTTTTGTCTTGGGCTACGCTATAAAATCGTCCGATAGGGCTGCTGGTCTTGAAGCCTAATTAGGTTGTATGAATGAGGGAGGGGGGGGGAGGGAGAAAAAAAAAATATTAATCGACACCGACGGGACTCGAACCCACAATCTTTGCCAGGCAGTTATCCATCTCTTTTTGTTTGCGAAGGAACCGGAAAGCAATGCGTTAGCCATTACGCTACGGTGCCGGAGTTATTGATACCTTCAATCTTTTGCTACGTGAATAATTACTATGGTGTGTTCGGGTTTCGTCTTGCGTTAGTGAATGCTCTCCTTTTGGGTGTTTTTCTGAGGGGTTTGTGGACTGTTTGGGGAGCGCGAGGGAAGTCTTGGGGGGGATGAGGAGTGTTGGGTGAACCTTCCTGTTGAGTGAGCTTTCCATATCTAGTAAAGTATCTGTTGGGAACGGTCACTATGATGAGACGACAAGTGATGGTCTATGGACGTTGGGAATGAGGTCACCAGCATGTTTGTCTTGCATATATAGTGGGCTTATCCCCCAAGTAGTTGTCAAGTAAGAAGAAAAGTCTCGAAGTTACAACAAGGAGCGGGGAAGGGGGTGAACGAGTGATTGTGGGTGATGGGGATGGGGTATAGGGAGGTGGGGGGTGGTTTTTTTTTTTTTTGGATGTAGAGCATTTCCGAATCCTCTAGAAATGAAGGCTTTTGTAATTCTGTCTTTTTAAATTTCAGAGGAGGTTAGAGAGTTGGAGTTCGCCAGGCCCTCTAGGTACCGGTGTGATTCAGGAACATAACAGGCGTTGCGGCTTAAAAAGTTCCACGCGTCTTGGCGTGAAATATTTGAACAATGGGCGAGAGAAAAAAAAAAACCTCTGACATTCCTACCGTATTTCATCTCATCCCGCCGACGGACAAAAAACACACAATAACTCTAACTCTACAACTTCACCTTAAAAAGCAACCAAAAAGACAAGACAAGAACATGCCCCCGCGCCTGGCAATCCCCCGCCAATTCCCCCTCCATTCAATACCAAAAACCCCACCACCACCACCAATACAAACACATCCCGCGCCCCGACGGACATTCTTCCCCCTCCCAACCGGCTCACAATCCTTGCAGCGCTTCACAGCCCGCAAATCCCTCCCGTACCCCCCGCGCGCGCTCTTCAACCTAGTCTCGGACATAAACGCCTACCAGCACTTCCTCCCCTACTGCCTCTCATCAAACGTCACACGAACGTGTCCGCAGACAAACCTTCCGACGGAGGCAACGCTGCGCGTAGGTTGGGGATCGTTCGACGAGACGTTTGCTAGCGTAGTAGCGTGCTCGCCGGAGGCTGGAACAGTGGAGGCGAATGGGGATCGGAATGAGCTTTTTGAGAGGCTGGTTACTAGGTGGGCTGTGAAACGGGGGGAGGGGGAGGAGGGCACCTTGGTGGAGTTGTTTTTGGAATTTGGCTTTCGGAATCCGCTTTATGCTGCGGTTAGTTCTGCGGTTGCGCCGAAAGTCGCGGAGATCATGATTCAGGCGTTTGAGAAGAGGGCTGGGGAGGTTTTGGGGGGGAAAGTGCTCGAGGGGGAAGGGGAGAGGTGATGGGAGGGGGGTGGATTTACATGTACAAAGACAGATAGATAGAGGAGGCACGGATTGTCGGTTTGCTGGTTTTTCTGGCGTGCTTGCGTAAGGTGGCTTTTACTGTAGTATACTGGCTGATTGGGTGGGTGTGCTGGGTTCCGCTGGTACGGGATAGAGGGGGATTTGGGACTAACTATTTGGCGGTGGGGGTGTTTATTTGTTTGTTGGAAGTGTCTACGGCCGGCTGGGACTTTATGGGCTGGAGTGGTCAGGAGGGTAATCTAGCTGAGCGAGCGCTCTATGTGGTGATAGTTGTGTTGTGTATATTATTGAAACTATAGACTCGATTCCAAGATATCTACAAGTAATCGTAGATCCTTCTTTTCCGCCAGTGTCTCCATGAATCAAACTTTGACCTCAAAACAGGAATTGTGTGGAAGTGAGTGATACTTTGTGATGGTCGTCCCCGAGATTTCTGGGTCTAAATTTCATTGGTGGCTTGGGACAATATCTACTGGGGGGTGTTGTGACTCTTCTTAAGGCATTCGGGAGGTTCTGCAACGACCGTCGTAAATTGAACTGCACTTATTTTGTGGCAGTGTACGGTAGCGGTTTCAAGATATGATATATGTATTATTCATACCGAGCCGCAGATTTTGCCATTGGTTTAAATTCAACATTTCTCCCCCCAAGGACCCGTTCCAGGGGTTTTCGTCCCTAGTTTTGAACACAAGAAGGAATTCTCAGCCGCAATATTTGCGCCCTTATGCTCCGCCGCTTTCCATTCCCAGCGCGGATCATTCCTGAATCGTCGATAGGAATCACCAATTCCAGCGGTCGAAATTCGTCAAATTCAATATCTTGGCATCCGTTAAGTTTGTCGGTGGCGCGTCTCGCTTTGTCCCAGAACTACACCACCACCACGAGCAGGAGTACTCTAGCGGCAGAAACCATGATACAAGACACCCCAACGCCAATCCCTCTCTCCACCGCGCTTCCAGACATTGCCCAACTATCCCTAGAACCCGACAGCCCGACCCCCACCACAGCCCCTCCACCAAAAGACCCAAAAGCCCCGAAAGACCCCACCCCCTTCAAATTCGGCACCCGCCTCCTCACCGACCCGTCCAGCGTCTTCGAGCACAACGCCTGGGACCACGTCGAGACCGATGAAGCCTACCGCGCGACCTCCACCGCGCAGATCTCCTTCCAGCGCTCACGCCCCGTAGACCCCTTCAACAAGCAGCGCTTCAACAGCCACCCCGCAAAATGGTGGGACGCCTTCTACGAGAACAACAAAACGAACTTCTTCAAAGACCGGAAATGGCTGCACCAGGAGTTCCCGCTGCTGGAAGCGCTGACAAGCGAGGGCGCGGGCCCCGCCAGCATCGTGGAATTGGGATGCGGGGCGGGGAATACTTTGTTCCCGGTGCTGCGGCTAAACCGGAATCAGGAGCTCTGCATACACGGGTGCGACTTTAGTCGGAAAGCGGTGGAGTTGGTGCGCGCGCAGGAGGATTTCACCAGAGAGGTGGAGAGGGGGAGGGTTCGCGCTTCGGTGTATGACCTCTCGCAGAAGGGTACGCTGCCGGAAGGGGTGGAATGGGGGAGTGTGGATGCGGTTATTATGGTGTTTGTGTTCTCGGCGCTGAGTCCGGAGCAGTGGGTTGATGCGCTCGCGAACGTTCGCGGGATGTTGAAGAAGGGTGGGAAGGTCCTCTTCAGGGATTATGGACGGGGGGATTTAGCTCAGGTTAGGTTTAAAGCTGGCCGCTACCTTGATGAGAACTTTTACGTGCGTGGGGATGGCACTCGCGTGTACTTTTTCGACCAGGATGAGTTGAGGTGGATATTTGCTGGTGAGAAAAAGGAGGAGGGCGCGGATGCGGAGAATACGCAGAAGGAAGATGGAGGAGAACAAAGTACATTCCCCAAAGGCGACTTTGGCGGCTTCAAAATCAATGACATTGGCGTCGACCGGCGAATGCTGGTGAATAGAAAGACGCAGGTGAAGATGTATAGATGCTGGATGCAGGCGGTTTTCGAAAAGTTGTAAGGGCTCGCTGGTAACCAAGATAGATTTACTCATTCAAGGATTCATTCATTCATTCATTTGTTCGTTCATAAGTTAGTTGGAGTTTTTTAAGAAAAAAAAAAGGGTTTTGTCGTTACTTCAGGCAATGGGTTTATGAATACAGCATATACTTTTTGCATTTCTTTTATGAATAGAGAAGTTTTTTTTTTTTATCAAATCTTGCTGTACAACACATGCTGGTCATATTTCAGGCCCCCTCCTACGCTCAGTATAGTAATACTGCGAGCCATAGGCCAGGGCAGTTTACTTTATATCTACCAAGTGCCATTAATTTCCACCTCCTAAATCTTTACAGCTGACTTTGAAAGTCGAGCATGAAATTCACCAAGGGATTTACCATTCCAAGTTCATAAGTAGCAGCATATGTTTCCCACTTTTTGGAGGGGCATGTAGAAACATCTTTCATTATAACCATGACCCTTCGAGGATGTCTTTATAGATTTGTGTACAGATAAAGGCTATGTTGAAAAGGGGATAGATAGTAAGCAATAAACCGGGGAAAAAACTCACTCTAGAATAAATTATCACAACAAATCACTCGCAACCCCCTCAACCCCAAACAGATACTTCAACACCCATACCACACACCCCAACCCCCAACGCAATACCATGAACGTATCCCCCAAAAGCCACAACACCCTGCCCTGACACTTACCGAAGCACAAGTCTCCCGCTCTAACACCCCAAACCCAGCAAAAAAGGTGGTTGGCTAGGCGAATTTTTATTAAAAATACCCAACTACTCCACCAAGGCCAGGAGCTGAACTCCAAACCTTCCCTGCCCAAGTTAGTAGACTAGTTCTTGAGCCAATTAGACCATAAGAACTGGTCGATAATTCCTTCTCTTCTTTGATCTTTGAATGCGATCTTCCTTAGAGAGTGAGTTATCAAAATTTGGTGTTATATTCCCATGAAGTCACGTTATGAGTCAGGGAACAGCGCTCTAGACATACAAGCGTTGATATTTTGCTGCGAAATGAGTTCATAGAAAACTGAATTTGCGGTTGTGTAATTGAGTACCGGTACTACACCATGCATCCATGGCATGCGGGTTCCATTGGGATAGCTCACGGGTGATTGCAGTATGTACTGTAAGTATCGCTTTCTCTCCTATTCGATATGAACATTGTCATCGCACTTGATACAAATTCCCAACCACCTATATAAAGTCAGAATACCAACGCCATACGCCACATAGCAAGATACAATTATTCGATGAAATAGATAACCAAGGGAAAAATAGAAAATAGAAAATAGAAAAGTAAGTATCCCCGGAAATGAAAAACAAATGATCACGGCTCTACACCTGGCCGAAGTGGGAAATGAAAGATCGAGGAAAAAAAGCCCCAGATTCTCTCAAAATATCCCCCCCCAAAGCTGCTCTCCAAAGTACAGTCCCGTGCCAATGCAAAAATAACGCTAACCCAGTCAGCCGCAGCCAAGGAGGCAATATCCACCTAGCGAGGGAGACTGTCGACTTACCAATACCGAATCGCTAGATTTTCTTAGACAAAATCTAGTGATAGTCTTCCTCCATTCGACTCAGTCGATCTTCCA